GAAGGTTATGTGAGTAGACGTTACAGCACAGGATGCCCCAGAGTTACAACGCCGAATGAGGACCGGTATTTGGCAGTTACTGCCAAAAGAAACAGGCGGAGCACAGCCTCAGACCTGTCTCGTCAGCTCTCTTCAGACACTGGTACAACAATTTCAAAACAGACTGTGTACATACGCTTAGGGCAGATTGGTCTATATGCTCGTAGACCTGTCAGACGCGTTCCGCTTACTGCAACTCACTGTCGCCTGCGGTTAGCCTGGAGTAGAGAGCATGCATTGTGGACACCGCAACAGTGGGCTTGTGTGATGTTTTCCGACGAGTCCAGGTTTAGCTTGCAGTCTGATTCTCGCTGGACTTCCATATAGAGAGCTCCAGGTACCCGTTACCACCAAGAAAACATCATTGAACGACCCGTTACGGTGGTGCAGGAGTGCTCGTTTGGGGTGGAATTATTCTGGGTTCCAGAACTGACTTGCATGTTCAAATTGGAACCATGACAAGCCAACTCTATCGGGAAGTCATTCTGGAACAACATGTACGTTTGTTTCGGGGCGCCATGGGCGCACAATTTGTGTTTATGGATGACAACGCCCGTCCTCACCGTGCAAACATCGCAAGCGAATGCCTTCAATCGGAGGATATAACCCGTATGGACTGGCCAGCATTCTCACCGGACTTGAAACCAGTAGAGCACGTGTGGGACATACTTGGCCGACGAGTTGCAGCCCGTCAACCTCCTCCTACATGTCTACCGGAACTTGGGAGAGCATTGCTTTATGAGTGGTGTAATATCTCCCAAGATCAGATTGCTAATTTGATACTCAGCATGCCTAGGCGTTATACGGACTGTATTGCATCGTCTGGGAGACATACAATGTATTAACAATCATACCAACCATGTAATATTGGTTTTTTGTAAATAGGTTTTTTTTTTGTAATTTGCTCCAGGGAGAAATAATCGCTAATTTTTTTAATAATATCAAACATATAACATCTTTTTTTGCTCTTTACCTTTTGTTTAATAAATAAGCTTTACAAATTACTTAAATTTGTTTTGCTTCTAACTCTTCCTTTGCCTGGTTTTGCATTATCCTTAATTTATGGACATGAGTGTATAAGGATATTGCTTTACAAACTGGGTGAGGGAAGAGGATTAAACGTATTTTTGATTATTAACGTTTTGCTTTATATTTTTAATGATATGCATAATTGATATAATTTTAAATATTTTTAATTTATAGCATACCAAGTAGATAAGGTCTTCAACATCTTTGTAATTATATATCTTAAATAATATTCATAATGCCATACATTACGTGTCTCGGTACAACTTCGCTTGGTTTTTATGATGAATATGATTGATACGATGTCATGATATACTTATTAAGATTGAATTCATTAAACCTAGAAGTAATACTACGAAAGAAAACAAAGTAGCGAAGCAATACTAACGAAAGAAAATAAAGTCAAATGTAGACTTTCTTATTCAGATTAACTGCAGAATTCGATTAAATATATGTTAACTTTTCATTTGTTTTATGATTATTAATTTGTGGTCGTGTTTGAAAGCAGAGGGCTATAAGCAGCATGAAAAATTTTGAAACAGAAAGTGAATTGAAAGTATTTCTAGATTCTAACCAATATTTTGGTAGTAACTAAGCAAAATTTTTAATATAAAGGGGAAATATTAATTGTTAAGACTGCTGTCACATACTTAAAATTTATTTTTAACTTAATATTTTTCACAACTCTCCTTTTTTTTGTTTTTTTTTTGTTTTGACATGTCCGAATGTCTCGACATGTACGTCAAACGTATGACTGGATGTATCATGTAATGATGTATGCATAGTGGTAAATGAATTTAAAACATTGATTTTATTTGAATCTCGTATATATAAGCAACATTTTTATTATTGAGAATGGCAAAAGTTTTAAGTTTTAAATGCGATAATTAATTGAAACGTTTGAAGTAGTAATTTCGATTTACTTTAAAAATCAATTTAAGTTCAGTAATTTAAGTTCAGTATCAGTTGTGCTAATCATTTAATGTACAGTTACTTGAAAATATGAACTTTTTTTCATATGAGGCTTTATACGTTTAGATAAAAAAATGTGAACAGATTTCTTTGACGTTTCTAATCTATTTAAATCTTCCTTCTGAATAATATGATACAAAGGCCTTCTATTAATTAAAAATTTTCTGTCTGTCTAAAAACTATGTCCTTCGTGCTGAATTTGAGTCAGACAGTTTTTGGAAAAATAACCCGTTTCAGAATTAGCTTAACTAGAAATTCCAAATTTGAATTCTTAGAAAGATTCTTAGTGTAAATAATAATTCAGTTTCTTTCCAGCATTTTCCTAATTTCTGTACTATAAAATTTAAATTGAATGTATTAAAAATTATAATAACTTTTTATTAAAAAAATCTACAGTCAAATACTATTGTTATATCAAGGCACAGCAAACAGCAACCTCCACAGGAAACTTTTAGATGTATAAGTTTTCAGCAATGAAAAATGAAGTAGACTGAATGGTCAGTGAGCAGAAAAGGATGCAAAAGTCAACCAATTAAAACATTCCCTCGGAAATAAATTGTGAAGTGCATTTTTGGGAGCATTAAAGACTAATCAACAGAATGAAAACAAAGTAAATAGAAAAGCTATTATAATTTCCTTCATGAAGTTAGAGACTTTTGTTCGCAAATGCTCTCTAATCCAAAGTGCAGCTATTTGTTTCAGTTTGTTTTGAGACAATACAAGGAAAAAATATGCTTATATAAATAGGGCTGTTATGTATACAAATAAATGTATAGTAATGTTTTACTTATATGTTTCTAAACAGTAGATTTCCTTACGTCTTGTACAGAATCGTACTTAAAGCATAGCTTATATGAAAGCCTTTTCACAATGCGCGTTATAATGTTTTCTTGATATAATATTATTTCTGTTTTTTATACGAAAAAGAAAATCCCATCGAATATAAGACCCCACTTACCCTTCAGGATAAATTTTTAAATAAGCTAAGAAGTAAAATTTTAGGTGAATATTTGATGACAGTAGTAGTAATTCTGATTAAAATGAAAGGTGAACTACGTAATTAAATAAAATATTTTACTATGTTAAAAAAGTTATAGAAAGTTAGGGATGCATTGTTACCTATTTGTTATCAGCGTATCATTGACCAATACAGTGGATGAAGGCTTGAACTGAAATCGCTCAGCTAGACGTCTATTATAATTAACGGTAGTTATTGTAGTTTAGTTATTCGGAGATTTATCTGTGGGGTTTGTTTAGTATTTAAGCAATGTAAGTTTTCTTTATAATATGACTTCTTCCTTTCAAATGTAATTTCACTCATCGCAATCCTTTTAACAGACCGTCCTAAATTTAAGAGGGCTCATTTTCGAGTAAATACAATATCTAACAAACTGAAATTTTTGTCCTAAAACAAGTGTTTACATGCTTGATAGAGAAGAAGCTTATATAAATAGACTAAAGTAATTATCCTGTTATTATACTGCTTAGTTAGTTTCAAAATTAAATTCTTAAATAAATCTTCAGTAAAGTAAGAAGTTTGCTTAAAATTCAGTATCACGAGTTTATATATTTGTGTTTAAGTCTGGATTTTTGGCAAGACGCAATGATACAGAAACAAACCAGTCTCTTTGTTTTGGGGAACTGGTAAGGACATCTGAAATTGTTCGTAAAATTAAATGTTTGTAGAAAGGAATGGCAACAAGAAACACAAAAACCATTTGAGACCTACTTCATAGTTATAAATTGGAAGTTCGTAAAAACAGTCTATCGTATATAACTATTTGAGACTGAGGGAACTATAACAGATCAATATAAATAAATGAATGGAATGAAGAGGAAATTTCAAGAAGATAGACAATTAGCGGTTAAGTAGAACTGGCACTAAAAATCCAGGGTTAAATCCCATGACATTTTAGAAATGTGTATTCGTGTGTATTTGAGGAAGTAGATGCGAATGACAGTAGCCAAAATTATCAATCGCAGAAAGTGGAAGGAAATATTAAATCATATAAAGCGTCTTTTAGAATGGCCTCGTGCCTCTTAATATCATTAATTAGGATTTTTAGCCTTGAGGCGTCTGTCACACCCATCTTTGGTCAAAAGGGCTAGCATACATCCTGTGAATGAATTATTTATTGTCTAGGAATATAATTCTAAACCTATGAAGAAACATATTGCAACCAAGTAAACTGTTACTTTTAAGGAGTTTTATAAATAAAATATATAAATCATAAACAAAATTTGCTGCTTATCAAATAACTAAATTATAACGTTGTAAATTATTCAGAAACTTAATTCAGAACATTAATTAAATATTTAAATGCTTTTTAATAAAAAAATTAATATGACTGTTTTAAAATTTAATAGTTAAAATTTAAATTTTTAATTTGTGATTATTCATTTCTTATATGCTTTAATTTTTAGGCAAATAAATTATAGTTTTTTAATTATACAAATATGAATTTTAAAGTAAAAACCTTTACTTTTAAAATAATTCGCATGGATTTAAATTAATTTCGAATACAGTAATTGCCTTGAATTTAAAATTAAATTACAGTTCTCGAAAGTTACGCTAATTAAATAACTATAATTAAACGTCATAAACTGGGAAGAATTCATGTCGAATAAAATTAAAAACAATTAATAACCTGGGATGAATTCATGCCAAAATTAACAAATAACAGCGGGGAAGTTTGAAAAAAATTAAAATTTCTTGCTAGTTAGTTCTATCTTAGTCGCAATAATTAAATAAATATCTTTAAAATTCTAGATAGAATGCATTTTAAAATGTGAAAAATAATATTAGAAATAGATAACTCGTTTCAATTTATTTTAATATTTGCGTTTTCAGTTTACTTTCAATTTAGCCAAATACTATGCTAAGCAATTTTTAGACATAAAATAAATAACTGTTTTGATAGTGCATGAATGTATACAAAACAACAATATATTTTTTTGCTTACCTCTTGGAATTCAACTTTTTTAAGACATATATTTAATAACAATCCACTAGCATACGCTGAGAGCCAGTTTCTTAACTGCAACCGCGGTGCTGAAAATTTATCAGAAATTGGTGCATTTTTTATAAAAATCTTGCATACTTCTGTAGTTCAGAAGACTTAGGTCTGTCAGCATACTGGAAACCACTGATAATGATTTTTTTAATAAAGTTGATTCTCCGTCCTGTCTTGTTCTCTCCGAAGCAAATAAAACAAACACACAGCACTAACAACGTAATTTAGTTATAAATCAAACTCTCTTTTAACCTTGGCTTTAGTTTATCATGATTGGCGCCAGACATGCTTATGTTCAATTGGTCAGAAGAAGCAACCATTCATGAAATAGGTATCCACTGATCATCTAGTCATTTTTGTTCAACATTATTTTGATTCAGCGCTTTTCACCTTCATTCAGAATCACATTCCCCGCAGAAACATTGTTAGCCGGTTAAAGTAGCCGACTGCGAGTTGGGCAATAGTATTTTCGCTCAGGTCCGCTGATGGTGATTAGATCTGAATTGATGATTGATTAGTCATGCGATTACTTCCTACATTTTGATTTGCATTTAATCTCGACCCCTGAATGAGATTAGCTCAAGTTTTTAAATCCTTTTGAGACTTAGAAAAAGAAATCTCTGATAAATGATATTTAAATATGCAAAGAAATATTTTACTAGATAAATTTCTGTTTACAATTAAAGCAACGCTTAAATAATTTAAAGATAATAATTTCCTATGCTAACTTAAAATAAATATGGAAATTTTCGTATTTAGAATAAGAAATTTACGTCAATAAAAAATTTACAAAAAAATTAATATTTGCAATGGTCATGTTTATAAACTACAGTGATTTTACGATAGATATTTAAATAAAACTTATTTTACGAAATCATTAGAATGCATCAAATTCCAGTTATATGGACTGATTGGTCCATCCGGATAACTGTAAAAAATAAATATATAAAAAAAGAGGACTAATTATGTTACCCTTTTTTTCTGTAGACCAAATGCCATCTTATTACCTCAAGTAAGGAGACCTTTATTTTTTCATTTACCCTGTTTAATTTCGAAATGATTACGCAGCTAAAAACTGTATTAGAGATTAGAATGGAGAAACAATTGGCATTATCTTCAAGAATAGGAAATCTATCTCAGCACAGAAAAAGACATACGCCATAAAATGCTAATAGAAAGTGACTGTATACTGTCCGACAGCAATTCCTTGCATAGGGAAAGAATAGTCATAACGTCAGCAGGAATTTTTAGCCTATTTTTAGAATAGAAACTTCTGTAAGTATTAAGACATGATTCTCAGAATAAAGAAGGAACATTCCTTATTCCTCTATACTATATTACCTACTAGCTTTTTTATTAATGTTTAAAGCTACGTATTTCCAAATTATATGTAATGACTTGAAACTTGCCATGTTAGCCAAATAATGCATAGTGGCATGCTGTTGAATCAAATACGATGTATGCGGATTATATGTTCATTGGTTTATGATAAAATATTTTCATTACAAGAGGAAGATCATTAAATTTACACTAAATTAATTTGATATTTTTTAAAAAATATATTAGTGTGCTATTTCGTATGTTATATCAATTTTAATGTGACGTTATTGTGAAATTTAAATATTGATAAAATGTAAGGTTTTTAAATGAATTATTTAAGTTATAATGTTCTATTTAAATTATCTTTCTTTGGCAGTTAGAACATTGGAGAAGAGCATAGCGACTATTCGCTGGTCTTCTTACAGCTATAGAAATAAAGTCTAAGGAAGGGTTAATATACCCTTTTATTCACTCAAAGAAATAGTTGACAGTTGGCTCCTCTCGAGCTTAGAGGAAAGCCTCTACTTGGGCTTCAACTTGAACTAGAAAATAAGAAACTAAACTAACTAAAATTTAGCCGAAGCTGTACAGAAATAACTAACCGAGTTGGCCCTTAATTTAATCTCACCGGCGAATACTAACAGGCACTTAAGACTACGGCCGAGCATATTAAGATAGGCTTTAAGCAACGACGTGGCCAGAAGACCGAAACGCTCTACTGAGAACTGCTGGAGTCTTCTACGGAAATGACTGGAATTCCCATTAAATACTGGTTCTACCTCATTTACATAAAACGCGATACTGAAAATTCATTCTGGAAAGGGGTTGTAGTTGGGAAACAAAAATTTAAAGGACAGAGTTTCAAAATTAAAAATAACTATTACAAAATTAAAATAATCCCTACAAAGTCAATGAAAAAATTAAGGCCTGTAAATAAATAAGTCCAGACTTAATTTTAAATGATCCTGTTAGAAGGAAAAACCTATTCGGATAACTGCAGGCCGGATAAATTTAATTTTTCTTCTGTAAAAATAATGATTATTAACGTCATTCATTTATTCGCGTTAAGGTTTTTCATGAAATATTTTAATGGGTGTGAAAAACATATATTATTAATATATGTAATATAATTATGTTTTTAAATATTTCAGACTTGCGGAAGGAGAAAATTTTAAAATTCATTATGCCTTTTACAGAATCAGTTGCTAAACATATGTAGTCGGTGCTAATTTATTGGGAAAAAATGTGTGACTTGAATTATATTATTACATTACGATACTTATCATTTTTGTGTATAAAATTTTACATATGTCAATACTTCGATTTATTAGGAATATTTTTGTTGCAACTGACACTTTCTAGAAAAATACAAGCATTTCAAAGTAAAAAAACTTGCCATTTATAGTTTATGTAACTTTAATAACAATTCATACAATCACAGAAACAACAGAAACTGTTTATTTAACAGATGAACTTTTTACACAATTATTGTTTTTCATTTTCAAAGCAAACCAATGAAAATAATAATAATCCTTCCAAATATACAAAAATCAGAATTGCAAATGATATGTCATTACCTCTAGTGTCAACAGCTAAACAGACAAACTAGTTTGCTAATAAAAGGATTGCTAAAGGCAAAAGGTTAGTCGTCAAATGAATAATAATTTTTATTTGCAATTAGTTAAATTTAAATTTACATGATTACTATACAGCCTCCTGGATGCTATAATTATTGCACGTTTAATCATAAAAAATAAATTAAATTAAAAAAAGGATATTTTAGAATCACGACCATTCATTTAAAAGAAATGTAAAATATTCTACTCCTACGCTCCTATATTTATAGAAATCACGCAAAGGAAAATTATGCTATATTAATTTTAATTTGACGTTATTATGAAATTTAAATATTGATAAAACGTAAGGTTCTAAAATGAATTCTGGACATAAAATAATTAGAAAGCTTTATTTCTCAGTAAAATAATTAATAAGTAAGTAAAATTAATAAGGACAATTATATGCTTATTTAGATCTATATCAATTATTTGACAGCATCTGTACCCAATGTTATCAAGATTAATTTTATGTTTTTTATGGAAGTTTGAAAATGTTAGTGGAAAAAATGACAGAAGATAAACTGCAAACATGACAACTTGCGGTATTTTTAGGAAGTAAAAGAAAAAGTGTGACCTATTAATTTTTTTTGCTTGGGTCAGGGTTACATGAAATTTGTTCGTTCTTTAAACATCTTCGTGTGATAAAAACTTTGAACCCACATAGAAAGATATTTTTCTTTTAATGTCTATTACAAATTCATCGCCTTGATAAACTTTCATCCGAGGCCAATGAAAAGTATTCATTTTGCAATCATCTAGGAAAGCGAAAAGTCAAAAGTGTCATAATTTTGGTTAGAGTTGACTTTAGGGTACCCCTTGTATTATCATGATGTTGTTGTTTCATTTATCCCCAAGTTGTTATTTCGTTTATCGCCAAGTTATTGTATCATTTATGGTAACTTGAGTAGTTGAATGTTATGGAAACCCTATTATGACGTAATCATTTGCATTATTCCGGGAAATTTTGAATCATGGGATGTTTTGCAAGGGCTTTTGTGGTGTGTGTTGCTTAGGAAGTACGTTGCTTGTTTCATTGTTTAGACGGTACAACGGCTGAACGTAGTAATATTAATTTGAAGTTTCTGTATGATTTGAAACGAAAGGAGAAAAGTGCATTAATTCACTGTTGTGTAAATGAAGGTTTACTTAGTAGCCATATTCCGGACAGTCCGGAACTACGTAGTATATTTTTTACTGTTATTTTTGTGAATTTATGTGGTGACGCCGATGTACGGATTCTAGTTCAGATAATTTTAGGAAGTTTTTGGATGGTGTTAAGGAATTTTGTGTGCCACAGACTGAAGACGAACGAATTTCTAAATAAGGGTAAGTGGATATTTGCTTTGCGTAGTGCTTAATTGCATAAAAGGTTTTCCTTTTTTATGTTATTTTATTGTTTGGTTAAAATGTAGTTTATTGAGATTATGTATTTTTTGTTTGCCTGTACTGTAGAATTGCGTGCTCCTTTGATTTTTTAAGTGAAAATATATCGATGTGTATATGGACAAACTCAAGGGAGTGCGTAAGGTATAGTTTGTGCAATTCTCTGATGTTTTTTTAAGTGAAAATAGGTCGATGTGCACATCGATAAAGTCAAGGGAGGGCGCAATGCCATTTTTGTGTAATTCTGGGAATTTTTTTAAGTGAAAATAGGTCGATGTGTACATGGATACCGAGTCTGTGCAATTCTTTGTTTTTGTCTAGCGACGATTTAGTCTAGTTTGTGCAATTCTCTGATTTTTTTTAAGTGAAACTAGGTCGATGTGTACATGGATAAAGGCAAGGGAGTGCGCAATGCCGTTTTTGTGCAATTCAGGGATTTTATTTTTAAGTAAAAATAAGTCGATGTGTACATGGATACCGAGTTTGAGCAATTCTTTATCTTGTTATTTTGACTCGGTATCCATGTACACATCGACAGGCTGGCTGCTTGTGTAGCGGCGATTTTTCGCGGAAAAATTGCCACTACGCAAGCCAAATTAACAAGTCCAAGAATTGCACAAGCTCGGTATCCATGTACCGCCAAAAATCGCCAAGTTTCGCCAAGAGGTACCCTAAAATATACTTTTACCATAATTTTCGTCCAATTAATGGAGAAAAATGGTAATTAACTTTTAGCTTCCCTAAAACTTTGCTATGTCATGACTGATCAATCACTTATAAAACAATCAAGTGTACCTCAGTAAAATACTGTTTCCGGATTAATTGGATAAATCGTGAATTAGTTACAAACTTCACTGACCGAGAATATAAGAGCCTTATTACACATATTGAACTATCTTCAATAATAATACAACTCATCAGCAGCCAAGCGGTAAAATCGCTGAGTACTGGTAGTTCTGACCTGGATTCGATTCCAGGTGAACAGGCTGGCTGCATGGGAGCTTTCGTTGTTTTCTCGTGTGTAACGTATATACGAAACAGTTTCCCTTAGAAAGCGCCATCCACAAAGGCATCTCTCCTCTTAGGTAGATGTCTTTAGTGCGCTTTGCCATAATCAACTATTCAAACCAAACCAATCAAGAATAATGCCATAATGTCAGACAAAAGAATTGTGAAGAAAGAAAGTACTTAGATAAATTGAAAGCAACCAAGAGTGAAGATAAGTTTATCCACATGAATAATATTCCATATAAATTCCAATTCAGATTTTGAAGCCTAATAACCACATTATTAATTGAAGGAAAATTCAGCAGTATAACATTTAAATGAAGATGGAATATATTTAAGAGTATTTATAAGTCCGTAGTTTATGTAAAATCATCTTTACTTTTCTTGCTCGCATTTTTTTCCCTAAGAGTAGACGAAGAATTTTTTTTAATTCCCTTTTTTAGTTATACTTTACATGCCTTCACTCCTTTAGAAATCTCATGATTCTCTGTGCTTCCTTTAAAGTACACGCTATTATTAATAAAATACTAAAGCTTTAAACAGAATTTGAAGAAAGCAATTTCTTCTCTTAGTTACAAATGGGTAATTTAAATAGCAGTTCTGACTTTACTAATGATGTTTGCTGAACTACGCATCGTATTGAGCTACGTTTCTACATAGTGCAGGTAAATATTTAATATCTGTCTTCTGTATACCTTGTATAGATAATAAAATAAGCTCAAAATAAACATGCCCCTTAATTCAAATAGAATTATCTAAAAACTTCAAATAGAATTATCTAGAATTTATGCTTATTTGAATATTGGAATTTAATATTGAATCATTCCATAAATAATGCATTTTTTAATACTCCTTTTTGTTTTCTAAATTAAGATAAACTGACTTCATTTTTAATTTAAAATACACTCTCTTTCATCCACCGCTAAAACTTAACAGTTTCAATGGGAGTTTGCAGGATGCCCTCATCGAGGCCTACAGAAGCATCCAGAAAAAGCCAGTCTTTTAGGCTATAGTTTCTGGCTGGTATTTTCTGGAAATGACATTTGACACTGGCTTACGCTTATCACCCGATCTCAATGTACTGCATTAAAATTCCTATTAATAATTATTTAATTTGACTCGTAAAGCAAAATATGTCCTTTGTCACTTCCATTTGCTTTTGAAAACATAACTGTTGAACTGCACATTTCAAAACTTACCCTAAGGATAAGAAAAAGGTAAAATTATTGCCAACTTTTATAGCAATTTGACACAGGTAATTTCCATTTCCCTTCAATTTTTAGTTAAATAGACAAAACTGCATTATTTATGGAATGAATAATGGATTTAAAGAAAAATGCAATGTTAATGGATCTAAGATTTCATTTTAAGAACTTTTAAACTTATATAATATTTGATTTTACAAGAAATTAACTGTAAGTTAAAGAATCATTTTTCGTATTCAGGAAGCAGCGCACCTAGTGTTATGAAAGAATAAATTATATCACAGTATTTTACTCCCACTTTGTTTACAATTTTATTTTACAATTTATTTCCGTCTTTAGCAAAAATATAGAAGTGTTAGAATTATAAAAAAGCATAAACTTCATAACTATCAATAAACTTATTACTAACAACTAACTATCACTGCCGTTTTCGTCTCAGTGATGATTGTAGGGTTATTTGATCATATATCTATGCAAACTAATTTCAATGCTTTCTGTCCGGTAAAGTATACGCATGAAGTATCCTATACAGTGATAACGTAACCTATATAAAATATACTGCCAATAAACAATCATTATGACGCGAAAATCTCTCATTGCATGCCATTCATAAATAACTAACTGAGGAATCTGGTTCCATTTTATAAAGTTTTTCTGAGTCCACGTATATTGTTTGTACACAATGGAGACTGTAGAAGAAATGCTACTTGGCTTCTACGCATGAGATCACGCAGGAGTACAAAAAAAAAAAAAAAAAAAAAAAAAAAAAAAAAAAAAAAAATTCAGTTACTCCGACTTGGAACTATCATTCCATTCACAGGCATGTGTTCCACAAGCTGAAGGCAAGATCCATTTATCGACTGCCCTAGGAGAAAAATTATCATATAAATTAGAATATTTCTAACAACGTAATACAATAATAAATATTTAATAAATTAATTAAAATACTTAATAAATCACAGCCTTCTAAATATATAACAAAATTCTAATTTTTGTCGCAGTTTTGTAAATGAAATAAATGGCAGTAGATTAGAAGGCTGAAAAAAGAAAATTATAATTACAGTGCTCAGTTACAAAGATTAATAGCGGTTTCTCGCTTCAACTCGAAAGCTTTAATAAAGCCTCAGCAATGTTAGTGTTAACTCTTGCTAGTGTTAGATGTTCCCTGGCTTCCCTCTTCAGAATATATACTCTCGATTATTTCTTTTGGTTTATTAACATAATTTATACTATACATACGTATAAGCAGTGGCATGCTGTGAAATCGCTTTTTCAAAAACAGCATACGGCCAGCCTTTGAGGGAGAACGTTGGCTTTTCTTCTGGCTTCCAATCAAAAAGTATTTTAACTGCTGTCTTTGGAAAGGGAGAGTTAGTCTTTAAAAGGTTTATTTTCATTAACATGTCATTTCGTATGTTAAAATCTGCTCTACACTACTGCTTCCACCAGTATAAGTAAATGAAAGGAGTTTTAAATAGAGTAAACATATAAATTAAGAAAGAGAGATTGGCATAAGCCGCCATCTTAAAAGAAAGTCCTCTGTGTTGTAGCCGTCGCGAGCAAACAACCTCTGAGCTGGTTAATTCTTTATTCGACAGTTACTTAGTACATAATTCGCAGCTAAGCAGTTGTCATTTAACGAGCCAGGTGCTACGGTAAAATTTAACTTTTCATTACAAGTAATTCAAACTTGCGTGTTGTTTGCTATTTCCGCAAGAAGCGAAATTGAATTTGTGTTCGTTATCAGAGTTAAATTAACACGCCGAATAACCATTATTAGAACCATTATTCTGATAAGCAACTAGAATCAGAATAACATTCAAGGACGAGTTTCGAAAGCATAAATATAGAACTCTCGAAACTAGTCCTGCAAATTTATGAATATTACACATATTCTTGTTGCTTTAGCACCCGCAAAACTGTGTTCATTAGTTTTAGTCTGTACTTCAATCTGAAAGTACTAGTAAATTATTGTTGTGTTCATTAAATATTATTGTTGCGTTTAGCCTTCTGAGCTGGTAGTAAAAGACGAGATGAAAGACATCTTGCAGGCTTAAAGGCTGGTCTAAGTTAGTTTCGTTAACTTTGTTATCCTATTTCTTTCCAGACTCATATATACGATTTACTTTGAAACTGAAAGAAATTTACTTTGAAACTGAAAGAAAGTTTTGTAGATGAAGTAACGTAAAACTGTATTTAAATTACTTTGTCATTGTTTCCCCTACTTACATAATTATAATACGTCATTCAACGTTTCATTTGCGAGATCTTTTCGCATTAAGTTTCACCTTACGAAATGATTTAGACAGAAAATGGAATATTTGAAAGCACTCAATATATAAATAATGAAGATAGTTCAATGCAAATTTTATTATTCGACCAATGATCTGATTTTAGTGCGTAGAGTCTTTATTTCGGAGCAGAAAGTGGGAAAAATCAGTAATGCTCTTTTCGGGATTTGAACTCAGTTGCTACCCTGAAGTACTTCTAATGATTAGCATAAAGTACTTCCAATTACACCACGCAGGCACGCGGTAAAGAGGGAGAAAATTCCTTATCGCCTTTTACTGTTGATGGAAATTATGCTGAAATAAATTTATTGCGTCAAGAAACCAAACGAGTATTTTTATTTCTCCCCTCATTTGCCTTGTGCCATTCTACGGCTCAAAATTAATAATCTATGTGAGCGATTTCAAAACATTTCTGATCTGTATGAAAAAGTAACAATGCTATCTGCCTAAGGGAAGGAGTGCCTGCGTGGAGGACCTTTCTAAAGAAAAACGGCTCTTATACACGTTACACTTGGGGAAAACCACGAAAACGCCGAGGCAACCAACCTGTTCTCCGGAATTCGAACCCCGGACCGAACTACCAGTATTCAGCGACTTTACTGTTCGGGAGCCTGTTTTCATTCATGAATATTACTTTTATTAATATTATTTATATACATTATATAAATCTGTTCATTAATGCTATCTGAATTCTCCGGATAGAAAAGTAATTCTATTAATATAAAGTTCGGAATAGTTTCGTACGGTACTTTTTGATACATGAATTTAAGGATTTAGTTTCAAGTTCAGTTTACTTCGACTCATACGTTTTATGAATATCAGCTGAAAAATATAGCAACACTAGTATTACATTTTTCAGTTCTGGATCCAAAGAAAAATGTTTAGTTGTCGGCATTTACCATAGTTTCAGCTCAGATATTTGCTCTACATAGTGCATAGGAGGTTTCAGATTTTTCTTGACAGGACATTTGAACCCTTCTACAAGAACATCAGATTATCCTGAAGACATTTTATACATTCGCAGAAACATTTTATACATTCTGCCCGACTTTTCACATTTGCATAGGATTTCGTTGCATACATTGTTCTTTCGTCTGCCAATCTTTAAAAGTATCCTATCCTAATTTAGTGCATCTTCCTAAGCATCAGACGCTTGCTGATTAGAACCTTTGTCGAAAGATAGTCTAAACAATAAGTTTTTTTATATGTCTCATATCCGACATATTGCTTAGTATGCAGTAGTAGAGTGCAGACCGATCTAAAACTCACAAAAGAGTGAAGAAACACCACAAACTTGCATATTCGATCCCAAACCCAACGATATATTAAAACCAGTCTCTATTATCTCGAGCAAGGCGGCGAATGTTTTTCAGAAAAGAGGATGAATAGGATACGTATAATTTAACCCAGTTTCTGATTTAGGCAGATTTAGATTTTGAACTTGACAAGTTAAAAGTCTTTACTTTATTAATTAAAGCATCTTATTATGCAGCACGTGGTCTACTGCTATGCACATTAATTAGAATTTTATTAATTTTTGCCCTTTTGCCTCTAATGTTTAGTTGACCGACATTTCGATAATTTTTTTTTATGTTTCTCAATAAGATATAAAAGTGTATAATTATTTTCGGATAGCTAAATGGTATGCATTCATATCTTTGTATTCAGCATGCCATTTGAAAAGAATATATGCGATTAATCCACCGAATCTGACGGACTGGATTGCGTATGAAAGGATCTTTTGTAATAAAAGAAGAAATCGAAATATCAAGAACGAAACTGCATTTGTTTCATGTTTATTCAAAATATCTTGGGTATCAGGTAATGAACAGTTCTTCATGTATTCATATTTATAGCCAGTTTTTATTATTGTTATCGTATTTCTCATATTCTTTCATATTTCTTGCTTGTTCATGAATTAATACGCCTTTTTTTAAGTAGTCGTAAAGTCAATGCTTTTTTTTATTTCAGCGAAACGAACAATCTACAAGTAGTGATAAAGTATTAATAAATATCTTATTATAACAAAAATAATTGACAATATCTGCTTACTTAATAGGGCGCATCTTGCAGCTACTATTTTGCGATGGCGTGGCTTCATATAACAGTGGTGAAGAAACAAGTAGAATATAGCCATAAAAACGCAGAAACATGACATAACTCTGTAAGACAGACTCATGGAGTAATATTCGCCTAGGAGACCGCCGACAGAGCAACCTATTATTCGACCTAACATGGAAAAGGAAAAAAAAAACATTGAGTAAATGTTTTGCGTGAATTAAAATCACTGAAGATGTAATTTAGAGAAGTATTATAAGTTTCTAGTAACTTTAAATGTATTTTGTTAATCATGCTAATTTTTTGGAATAAATAGCAGAGCAGGCTCATCAGAATACTTCATCAGGAAGCATTGATGAGTTTGCTTTTTACGTGCAGGATGGTAATTCTTGATTTTTATTTACTATTTAGATGTAGTAGGTACTTGTGCCGCCCGCCTTCGGTTGGTTGCGCAAGCAAGACTTGAGGATGATTGTGAAAGCGGATAGTGGGAAAAAATGCAGAAAGTTGCTTAATTAATCTTTTTATTTAAGAATTACCATTACATTCTTGATTTTAAAGGGAGCGAAACTTTATAACTTGTGAAAATTTCAAAAATTTATAAGAGATACATTTTTGAATGTGGGAATTTTCAAATATTGGACGTGAAATGGTCGAAAAAGTCGAGCAGGTTTTGAAAAATGGCTAAAAATCAAGGAATTACGTTGAAATTTCGGTATAAATTTCATTTTGAAAAATCTTTTTCTTTTCTTTCCCATAGCAGAAAGAGTACATTTATGAGACTTTGTTTGTTAAAAGAAGTTCTGTGCGAAAAACTGACAAACAATCGTTTCGAATTTAAATTGAAATCTAAATCAAATTTTGAAGAAAAAACGCTTTGAGAAATACAGCTTCTTTTTTAGGATGTTCAAAATTTCGTAGCTCTAGTTCTCTCTATCTCTCTATCTATAATGATAAAAATTAATCAGCTATATGGTACTTGATTAACACCTCGTAAGGGTTTTATTACTTTCAGTTCGTCATTTTCCGAGAAAAAGGCAAAATTCTTGCCAGTCAACAAGGCCAAAGACCTTTAATTTATTTTCCGTATGATAAAAGTGGCGTATCACCTTAGAAAAGTGATTAATTTAAGAAATAAATTCATCTCTGTTTCTTAACAATATTTTGTACTTGTGATTTTACATTCGTATAATACGTAAAACTGGTTTCTAACGTTGTAATATTATGCCGACTGAAAAATTTCCAAAATCAACTTCTGTGCATTAATCGGCTGTAAAAATAAAATCTGATGGTAGTGAGATATTTTAACATACTGATCGTAATCCTCTATATGCATTTTCTTTTTAATTTTATTCAAATTGAATCTTTTCCAAATGGTCATATACATTCGTGTGCAAAATTATTAATAATGCCATTATGCCTCCGAAGAATTCTACAAATATTCAGCCGTAAACGTTAGTAAGCGTAAGCGTACACGTACGTCACATAATACGTAAGTGTACCCGCGCGTGTCTGAGCTATGATTGTTTGGATGGGATATAAGCGCACTATGGGTTTTGAGAGTGTTTGTACTCTTTGACGACATTCGCCGTGTTTCTTGCAAAATTCGGGTAAATTTTGTAAGGTATCAGTTTAAATGAGTTGACACGGATGACGGAATGGGACGGAAAATTGTCGGTAGATTGGAGGCAGGCCAATCACAAGCTCAGGTGACTACAAAGTACAATATAACGCCCAGTATCATCTGCAGTTGTGAAAATAGTTTCAGGACACTGGATTCATATCAAGATCTGGACAATGTTGACCAAGATCTAGAACAACGAATAAAGAACGTTATTAGGCACTTTCAGAGCTGCGCCACTGGACTTCTACAGCTTTACTGCTCTCATATAAGCTGTATGCAGCTACTGGAACTTGAGTTTCACGCTCTACAGTTGCCCGAAGGCTTCAGGAGATAGGGTTGTATGCCAAAAGATTTGTTTACATCCCGCTCACTGCGGCACACAAGAGAGCGCTTTTTTGCAAGTGCACCCAGCATGCGCCTTAGACCAGACTTCAGCGGAGCAACGTGCTTTATACAGATGAGTCGAGATTAAGTTTGGACACTGATTCTCGGCGTACATATATCTGGAGAAAACATGGAACACGATACCATCCCTTCCCCGCCAGGGAAAAGGATCATTACGATGGAGGAGGTGCAATGGTTGGGGCAGGTATTATGTTAAACAGCTGCACGCCCCTGCATGTGTTTGATAAAGGCACCCTGACTGCTATGAGGTATAGAGAGGAGATATGAGAGCTCTATGTTCGACTTTTCAGAGGCACAGTTTGTCCTTGGTTCCTGTTAATGGACGACACTGCTCGTTCACACAGGATTCAGTTGGTGGACGATTACCTGTAAACTGAAGATATTCAGTTAATGGATTGGCCTGCCATGTTTTCTAAGATTAATCTTCTACAGCATGTTTGAGACGCTCTTTGGAAGGACAATTTCATCTTACCATCCTTCTTCCCCTCTTTTTCGTTTTAAGCTTACAAAGCTTTCTGTTCCCCTTTCGCCGTTTAGCCTTCCCTCTCAGCCCCTTTTAGTCGATAGGCTTTTCTTCATTTCACTTGTTCCCCTTCTTTTTTTAGCCGTGATGGCTCTCCCCTTCTTCAGACTAGTTTTTAGCTTTTTGCGTCTTTCCTTTTTAGCCGAAAGGCACCCCCTCTCTTTTAACCGTTTGGCTTTTCTTTGAGGCCCTTTTACCCAGCTGACGTGCCTTGCCTTGTTTTAGCCTATTGGCTTTTGCCCACTTTGGTAGTTAGCACTTGTCTCCTCCTGCCTAATCAGGAGTGAGATAACGGAGTGTCTATAAGCGTGAATTCAAACCCACTTACTGGCAGCAATTCGTTACAAAACACCGCAGTTGCTTTCAGTAGCAGCAGCGGTTATAAGAGTTTGTTGTTTGTTGTTACCATCCCTCTTCGACAGCCATTCCGGAATTGAAAACTGCGTTGCCGCAGAAGTAGAATCGACTGCTACAGAGGCTGCTCAACTGCCTCCTGTTCAGCATGCTATCATGGTGCGCGACATGTCTGGCTGCGAGAATTGACCATAGCGCATATTAGCCTCATTCTCTATTCGATGTCACAACGTAATATTTTGTTCATCTCTGCACTATGAGAGTTATTGATAACCATGTGTATATAAAATGACTTTTGAATTATACGTCTCTTTATTCTTTTATAAACGTATATTCATACCAAACTTCATTAAAATCTGTTCATTAGTTTTTCAGAAATTCGACATAATATGCAGATTCTCTTAATTTTGCAGAGTGCATCTTTGAGTTTCCATATTTATACTATTTGTTCAGAAAGGAAACGCTGATACAAGAACTATAAATTTCAAAGGTGATATTCTTTCGTTGCTTGTAAGTTAAAGTTTTATCGTTATTTAACAATAAAAATTTTATTTTATCAGTTGGCAACAGCAGGTATTATTTTAACTCATTTAATGGTAAAATCCTATCAGACTGTAATGTAATGTACTTTCATGCATAGATAAATTAATATAATAAGAGAACAATTATATAAATCCTTTTAGAATCAGTCGGAAGTTAAGAGATATACAAAAATTGTTAAAATAACTTACCTACGCCAAAATGAGATACTACCAGTATGTAATGCATAGCAATTCTTTTCCCTTTGCTACTGCCGTCGTGTTCGACAGTTGCAACGAGAGCTAACCAAAGAATCGGTACGGTGAATGCTTTCATTGCTTCAAAACGGAGATGCCCACCACCAGTGGGACCATTCTTCTATGAATGATAGTCCTGCAAGATGAATTGCATGAAATGCAAACGCCGCCGATACTAAATTAGCTTCTCCTATATTCTGGATTAAGTTTTTTGATACCCACAAAAAAGGTACGCCGCACAAAAAGCCGATAGACTGCATTGTACCCAGTAGCAAATGATTGAATCCAATATCCTCGTACAGCAATGGATCAAATACCTGAAATGGAAAAATACAAAGCTAAAATATTTCGCAGTTAAGCAAAATTTTGATTTTTACATTGATAGGTGTTACCTCGATAGAAATTTTTATGTGAAATTTTCATTCTGAAATTCAGTTGGAGTGTTTTATCCCCATATACAAAGACTATGGTTAAAAATCGATAATTTTCAAAACTCAAAGCGCTGATGTCTGGAAATCTAAAAAAGTGTTTTAATAGTACTTGAATAATGCTTCTGTGAATTAATTATACACCGTGTTCACAAAACTCCTTGCCCGGCCTTTATTTTATCAGCCATTGATAGTAAACGTATACTATCAGTTGCAAAAATGCTTTAAATTACGCAAATATTCATGTTTTGACATTTTTAAACTGAAAAGAAATTAATTCGATGAAAATTAAAAATTCTCAACCTTTATAAAGCCATCCAATACTTGTATTCCGCAAAATTTTATACACATTATAAAAAATTAAACACAAAATGTTAAACTCCTGTACGACAAAAATTGGTTGAAAAATCGAGGAATACGTGTACGAAAAATTGACTGGGGAATTTCAGTATTTGGGAATTTTGATATCATTTCAAACTTTCCTTGAAGGGTAAGTTAATAAATAAATTAGAATAATTTGAGGTTGATTTCTCCTCTTATATGCCATACAATGATATTCTTTTGTGGTTCATTAATGAGTAACATTCATTAATTTGTAATTTTGTTACAACTGGCATGCTGAGAGAGTTTTTGCAGAAGTATGTTCACTCTAAAATGCATTAATAATAGTTTTATAAAGTTTTATTACTTTAGAATTATAACGTTTTAATCATAAAAACCTTCTCAAAGCAGAAATATTATTCAGTTTTAATGTTTCTAAGTAACGGTACGAGCTGGCTGAGTACTAATGGCAATATTGAAAACTGTCAGTATTTTCTAGAATTCTCTAAGATTCTACGTATAAGATCTATTTTTTAACAATTTCGTATTGTTAAATGCTTTTCATGGTAACTTGCATAGAAATACTCCTCTCTAAATTTCTTAAAACCAGTAACCGTTTTCTAAAATAATAATTCGTTTTCAGTTACGCACAGATGCAAACATTTTGCTTTGAAATTTATGTGCGCCCCCTGAATGTATGTGCAACTTAAAAATAAAGTATCTCGGTCAATTTTTGTCCCGAAGTTCAAATGATTTTAATTTAATTTTTTATAATGAATGTAAAATTTTCTTAAATATAAGTATAGGGACCGGGCGAACGTATAAAAAGTTCGATTTCGTATTTTTACAAAATTGATTTTTTTAAAGTTCCAAATGACAGAATATGAATATTTACCTCATTTGAAATATTTCCGTAACTATAAGTATATGTCTAACGACCAACGGTATCGATGTACACTTGCGTATGTGCATTTTCAGCGTTTCCGTTTCTTATCTAGTTTGCAAATAACGATTCCTTATTAAATAGTTGCATAATTTTTATCATTATTTGAAAACATGCTTTCCTGCAGCGTATTTTGGTTTTCAGATACAGCTTTTCTTTCTTTTCGACAAGTTAAGGAACAGAGCAATGATGAAAACCGGAAGTCATCGAAATTCTAATTCTGCCTTTTTTATCTTGTAAATGCAATGGTGCATTGAAAAACTGTAAATAACTCACTATGCGAAACTGTAAACAAACCACTACTACCATTTCAGCAAAAAATGTATAAAATTTAATTGCGAACTTTATGCTCACAAAAATGGAATAAAATAAAGAAACCTTGATCTTAAATTTATAAAATGTGAAGAAAGCTCGTAGAATGTATTGTGGTTAAAATGAAGGTAGTGGAAAGAGTAGATCAATGAAATGTGGGTCATTTGTATAAAAAATATTTCTATATCTCGAATTATCAAGAAATGACTGTAGGCAGTTAGAAATAAATATTTGTTAGGATTTCTTATTAGCGTTTTTTTATTCATACATATAGCATAGTCACTAGATTGACAACAAGATTTTAAACTGTATTAATAATTTAAGACTACCCAAGCAAATGTGCCCATTTGCTGAGATTTTTTTTCCTTCTGTAACTATAAGGTATTTCTCCCGCCTTCTTAGCATGCCTTCGTGGTGTAGTGGTCAGCACGTTCGGCGCGTATTCGAGAGGTCCGTGGTTCGAGTCCTGGAGAGCGCATTACTCATTTTTCATGTCTCCTGCTTCGAAATATCCTAATGAAGCTACAGTGGCGCCCTAACTAAAAAAGGTGGTGGATGATGATTCTTCACCACCAGGATTTGACGATTGTGTCTCCTAATCTCCAGTCGTTTTTGAAAAGGGGGAGTATATAAGGTATTTCCGCCGCCTTCTTAGCATGCCTCTGTGGTGTAATGGTCAGGACACTCGGTGCGTATTCGACAGGTCCATGGTTCGAGTCCCGGCGAGGACATCGCTCATTTTTCATGACCGTTGCTTCAAAAATAAATTCTAATGACTGTACATAACTACATATTGAAAAATGCAATACATCTGTATCAGATAAATCAAAAGTACATCTGAAACGAGTAAAAAATCGTGGAGTTTAAATAAGAGACAAAGACTAATATAGAAGCGTTGTACATGTGACTTAGAATAGAACAGAAAGAGAACAGTGCTAGGAAGGATTGGATAAGAAGAAATATAAGCCTAAAAATACGTAATTATTTATTTCGCTCCGAAATAATGTAAGGATAAAACTTAAGTTGGGCAAGAAATAACTCAAGAGAGCAAATAAATCTCAGATTAACTGCAATGCAGCATTACAGGACGTCCTAAATGAGTGACCGTGTTGGGCACTACACTTAATGAGACTCCAAATGTGCCAAACATTTAATTTAAGTATGTTAGTTTAATACTATTAATACTACCGCAGAAGTCGCCAGAAGCACGTTTTGTCCGGCGCAGTGAACATTTTTTTGTCAGGCACCACCTGACTGTCAAAGCAATAAATTTTGAAATTTTAGATTGCCATTTCGTTGTATCTTCCGTATCTTGCTAAATATATTTTTTATATTATTATGGACGATTTCACTGAATATTTCCTCACGTCGCTTTACTAGATGTAATTTAAGTATGAAATAAAGAACACTGATATTATTTTAGGTATACCTGAGAAATTCCCCATGCAGCTCCAATAAGCACCGCAATCACTGTGATAACAACCAGCTCCAGGGAAAGATGATACTTTTGTCCAGTTTCGTCTCCATAATTTCTTGTAGTATAGTCTTGGGAAACGTCATACCGAAAGGTATTCCCTCCAACTGGCAAAGGCAAGGCATATATTAAGGAACAAGTGATCAGTTCACATGCTGCAAAAATGAAGTATGCTGGAGAGTAATCTGGAACTCCAGCCACATCACTGAAATAGTCCACCAATACGCCTATGATAACTGGACAGACTGTTAAAGCAAATGACGGCCAAATACGTGTTCGACCATATGCTCCACGGTGATACGGTCCAGCTGAAAAATAATTCTTTTCATAACATTTATTACAGTTTTAACTAAGAGTACAATAAAGCAAAAGAATTACAATTGTAATTAAGGGCTGCAGCGAAAACATCGCGGAGAAAACAACGCAAGTGGAAAACGTTTCCTAACAAAACATCGTAGGAAAAATGAAAGCAAGGAGAAAACATCGCAGCTCTAAAACATCGTGGTACAAAGCATCGTCGTCGAAAATAAGGCGGTTCAAAAATTTCACAGTCCAAAATATCCTGGTAAAAAAAAGTACCTACAAATCGTCGCTTGACGATAACATCGCGGACATGACTTTTTCAGGCTTTACAAATTATAAACTGCGGGAAAAAAAAAAAAAAAAAAAAAAAAAAAAAAAAAAAAAAAAAAAAAAAAAAAAAAAAGAGGGACAGTTCTATATCTTCCGTTCTACTGCGCCGATTGACGAAATTCAAATTGCGTTTTTCATGACTCGAAAGACTTAAAATATATATTAGATTTATATATAGCATTGCTCTAACATAGGTATTTTGACACAAAATCGGACCTTTTTCTGAAATAACATACCAATTTTTTTCCCATATTTCGATTCTACGATTCAAATTATACCTAGATACTAAATTTTATAAAATTTGGTGAGAAATTTACGGAGAAATTCAAAAATTTTTCTTGGCAGAATTTTTTTAGTTTGCTCCAAGAATAATTCACTTGGAAAACTTCTTAATATGTGGCAATCAATCCTTCCATTTATGCTCGTTTCTGCTTCCAAATAATTTTAGCAAAGTGTTTAAACCACATTTGATGTTTTATCGCTTTCAACAAATATGCGAAATTTTAAAATGCGCCAATATATAAATTCACGTATATCTTCAGAAATTTTTAATAAAAAAAGTGTAATTTTTTGCAGGTATGCTTAGAAATACGTCTACTTTAAGATGATGGTAAAAATTTGATAGACTATAATTCAAAATGTTTTTGGAAAATTTATAAAAATTATTAAAAATACAAATTTTAAAAATAAATCATAAAAAATGGGCGAATTTTATTTGGAATGAATCTAAATTTCGAAATATGAAAGGAAGAAACAAATAAGTTTAATAAAAAAGAGAGATTAATAAATATATACCAAACTCAATTAACATTGAGGAGCTAAAATTTTGAGAGCTAATTTTTTAAAAACTACTCATGCGATTTTTACAAAACTTGGTACTTTGGCGTAATTTGAGTTGTAGAATCGAAATATGGAAAAAAAATGGTATGTTAGTTCAGAAAAAGTCCGATTTTGTGTCAAAATATGCTATATATAAATTTAATACATATCCTAAGTCGCAATGCTATATTTAAATTTAATACATATCCTAAGTCGCGCTTTCGAGACATAAAAAAGCAAGTTGAATTTCGTCAATCAGCCCAGTAGAACGAGAGATATAGAATTGTCTCCTCTTTTTTTTACTCAGTGTGCATACATATTTGCATAACGATTTGTGACTGCAAGAAGAAATCAGAAGTATTTTTACTTTTGTATTTCATATTTAGGAATTAACTAAAGTTTTTATCGAAAAAATAAGAAGGAAACTTAAGCATTCAAAAACTGAAAATTAGTAGAAAATTAATTCTCATTATAACAATTAGTAGAAGTTTTAGCTTACGCAATGAATGCCTTAAGGTCGTTAATTAATTAAAGTCTTTTATAAATTTTACTGGTATTTGTTCAGGAAAAATATTATCTAAAAAAAGATTAGAAAAGGAAGATGAGTAACCGCTTGAGGTTATCTTTATTAAACTTGTTTAGTTAATTATAAAATTATCAGATTATTTTCTTTCACCTTCGTCAATCTATTCTTTTAGAGATAATTAAATGCTGCTTTGTTTGAGTTTATTCGTCTTCTTAAAGTGTCATCAACATTTTCATATACAAAGTGCAGTTAATCGTTTGGATGCTGATTCGTTAGTTGCGAGGAAACATATCAGTTGCATAATATTGCATTAGGGAATTTGGAGTTATTGAATTATCGCAAAGCACACTAGCTCTATCTTCGTAAGGGAAAGGATGCCTTTGAGGAGGACTTTCTCAAGAACTGTCATTGTACCGACATTATACATTAGAAAAATCACAAAAAATCTCATGCATCCGTGGAACGACCAGTGTTCAGCGATTTTACCACTCAGCCACTATAGCCGGCCAGTTCAACAAGGGAGCTATTAGCAACGAAAATGAGTAGTTCGCTTTTACATCACCCATTGGAAGGACTCGAATTTAAAAATATTCCTCGTTCTTTCTTGCGTTCTCAAATCATTGTGTGACTATGCAGTTACAACATTTAAAGCCTGAAAAACACGTTTTCTGCGATGTTATTGTCATACGCTGATTTGTAGGCCCTTTATTTTTTACTACGATATCTTCGATGAAGATATTTTTTAACTGCGAAGTCTTTAAACCGTTTTATTTTCGAGGACGATGGTTTGTATCACGATATTTTAGAACTGCTATGTCTACTCTTTGTTTTCTCTTCTCCTACGATGACGACGTTTTTTCCTTACGCTGACGACATTTCCTCCTTGCGTTGTTTTCTCTGCGAGGTTTTCGTCCGGGATGTTTTCGGCGGACACCGTAATTAAGAGTACAGTAGAACAAAAGAATACAACCAATTTTGTCCCGAATATAGCCTACAAAAATGTAAGTCTACATTTCTGAAGTTTCTCCAGATTGAAAGAACTTTCATGTACAAAGTTAGATTAGTTAATTAAGGACTATCTGTCCAAACCGAGAGATGTCTTCATGGTGAAATTTAAGGACTTTCGTTCATGTTACACAAGAGAAAAATTTACAAATAAAGCCATCTAACGTTTAGAAGTTGCTCATTCTGAAAACGTCATTTAAAATTAAATGGTTTTAATAATAAACGTTGTGTTAAAATTAATTAAATGTATTTTTCATTTAAAATTAAGCAGTAAGTTACATATTTTCTTAACGCACGGAACGGATTTAACAGAAGTTTATCATTGAAAATCCCAAGAAGTTTTGTATACCCCCAATAAAATGGAGCACCAAATGAGATGAATAATATATTGAAGACAAGGAATTTAACTTTACTTATTATTATAATTTAACTTTACTTTATTATAATTTAACTTTACTTTTTATTAATTCTATTTAATTTTCTGTATTTTAACATAATATCAAATAGAACAAAAAAAAATTGTATTTGATGATATTTCTCTCATATGTGTTGAATACTATGTTTATAAAACACTTCTCATACGTATTAAAGTATAAATTCATGTGCTTTACTTATCGCCTGCGTGCTCAGTCTTGGAATGCTAAAGGATATTTAAAAATAAGGACTTCGGATGCACTTGAACACACCAGCATTTACAGGCTTGACTGTTTGAGGTGGCAAACTATGTTGAAGACTGTTTTATCGTCTGGATATGCGATGTCCCATAGAGTACTACTATATATTTAAGAAATTTTTTATTATTTATTAAATAAGCTTTCGGAATATGATAATTAGAAGTTTCTGCAAGATATCACACAAGTGGTACTGGGCAAATATATTTAAATAAAAAAGAACCGAATTTAACCAATTCCTCAGCACCTTCAAATGACCTCATTATCTCAATAAATCATTTCAGTAATAATAATAAGCGATTTTTACTCAGATTTGCGTCGTGTTTTTATAAATAAGCCCAAGTAAGTAGGTCTCCGAATTTCCAAAATCTTTACAGTTCAAGCAAATGGAGGAGTCAAAATAAACCACAAAATAGTAACAAAGTAAAACATAAACGATTTAACAATAAGCACATTTATTACTTTTCTAGGTGGAATAATAAACAAGCAGCCGGGATAACTGCACCTAGATCCCTATCATATTTTTCTCTTAAATGCCTAAAAACGCACATCTCATTTGTTAATTAAAAATAATTCCATATTTTGAATAATGAATAAATTATCGTTTTGCCTTTAAAGGAACTTTACTTTCTTGTCTCTCATAACAAATCTAAATATTACAAAATCATTCATTTAAATTACTGTATGACAATACCAGCAACAGAATTATCCTTCCCGTAAGTACTTAAATCATTTAAGCGCAATAAGTTTATGAACACATAATGATATAAAAATTTTTTTAAAAATTAACTCACAGTGAGGGAATATTCCAAACCAGTTTTCATCTCCCTGTTAAAAGCCTAAACTCATGCACAAGAACTTCAAAATTTCTTCTTCATCAAGGGCGAATTTGTCAAACTGCAACTGTCGTTAAATCTGCCTCACTCTATTTCTGCACACAAGGAGGTGCAACTTTTTACAAGCTTTGACACACGAGAACTTTCGTCATTGATCTCACTGATGACAGAAGAAACGCCCTTGGGAAGAGGGACTGCGAATTCAATATTTACCCGCGTACTCAAGGACCGCTGTCTAGATGCTCTTCTGTTGGCTATGAGAATAATAGTAGACAGAGCCCTTTATATTTCTCAGTCAGAATGTGAAGTGTAAGAATCTTATTTTGGAAGCATATAATCCATATAATCAACTGCAGGGCCGTTCTTAGGCCATTGGCTGCTCGTGTAGTTTCCTATAATTGACGCCCCCAAATAAAAAAAAAAGCTCAATGATTAATGAAATTTTTATTTCTACTCACTAAGTACTTTTATGAAAGATCTATGTATTATGAACTACTTGTACATAAGCATGTACTATGAACTATGTAACTATGTAAGCATATATTATGAACTATGTAACTATAAGCATATGTTATGAACTATGTAAGCATGTATACAGGACCAATGTATGCTCTTATAGGCCCCATCAGGTGTTGCCCCGGATAGTTGCGGAACCTGGACTAGACCCGAATAGTCTTAGTAAGCCGCACGGGTGTCCAGATTCTGCTCTCAACTCAACTCACTAAGTACTTACATATGACAAACTGCATATAACGTACTTACATATGACAAACTGCATATAACGTACTTACATATGACAAGCACTTACAGAGAATTTA